GTATTATGGTAAGTTCAATATCTAATTGTAGCTAGTTTAATTATAAGGATATAATTTTATTTTGAAAGAGCGACTTTGCCATGTTAACTGTTACAATATCTATTTAGCATCTTAAACACAAATAATACCAAGCCAATTAGAGTTGGTCTAGTAACGAGGGTAAATACAATGATGAGTAAGAGGAGACTCCATATCTGGTACCAAATAAAAAAGTTTTCATGAATTTAGTGGCAGGTGCATGTTCATTGAGAATTTATTACGTGTTTATCTCTTCTCTATATATAAAGCCAACACTGCAATGAACTGTGTTTTTTTGGATCACAAGTTTCACCAAAAAAAAGTAAATAGAAATGCCCCCCAAACAAAAAAAATGTTTAAAAGCAATCCAAAATAATGCACCAAATAATGTAGGGTTATGTTTGTCATATAAAAAATGTTTTTTAAATAATTATTTCTTTTTGTACAATTTTTTTTAATTTTTTTTTATAATTAGTACCTCACAATATGCTAGCAATAATGTGATTCAATCAGTTTTTTTATTAAATATTATTTTCTCTATTTTTAAACACGTTCAAAACATCTTAAGAGACGCGTAGTGCCAATTATAAAAATGGTCTTTCGCACGCGCATAATAATGTGATTCAATTAGTTGTCAAATGATTTTTTTTCTTCGAACAAACGATATTATCTACACTAAGAGTGAGGGGGTGGGCTTAACCTCACAATGAGTTGCTAGAATTGGTTGCATGTGCTTCAGGTGAGGCGTTCGAGCTAGTCGATCGAGCTTGATGATTCTTCGTCAAAAGCTGGTTCTACTTTTCAGCGAGAAGTAAAATAGAGATCAAATCCGAAAATTTGGTGAACTTCTGTGCTCTATATTGTTGTTGCAGGACAATATTAATGGCATGGAAGGTCGAATAAGTCTTCTCCAAGAGATATGATTCGGTTAGTTCCACTTTACAGTACTTCAATAGTGATCGGATACTACAAACTTCAGAGTTGTATTCATTCACGGACTTAAAGTCTTGGAAGCAAGATGATGCCAGTCGTGTCTTTCTTCAGGCAAGTAGATGTCTTTTTGGTGATCGAACAGTTGGCCAAAGTAAGCCAGAGGGTGCGTGGGTCCTCCGTAGCGAGATACTCGGTCTACATTGCATCATGGATGTTTATGAGCTTCGTCGATGGGTTTGTCGTCGGTAGGTGCCTCGATGGTAGCTTTAATACTCTTTGCAGTAAGATGGAGCTTCACGTCTTAAACCCACTTCAGGTAATTTCTTCTAGATACTTCCACAACGGTGAAATTGAGCTTGTTCAAGTTCGACATGTCCCTAAAACAGAGGGTACAACAAAAATGTGGTTAGTCATATAGTAATCCATAGACATATATCGTAGAACATTTGGGTTCTATAGACATGTATTGGTTTAATTAATGCATGAAAGCTACAGGTTTCATGTGGTAAGTTTTAAATGAAAACTTCGAGTTTCAAAGGCACTAAATATGAAACTACAGGTTCAATTTATTTTTATAAACGATTAGTTCATAAAGGAAAGGTTCTTGCAAGAAACACAAAATACAATATGCTAATTTAAGTATAGTGGATTTGAGTTGCTTCAGGAACTCAAGTGTGAGAGCTTTGAGATTATGGAAATATGTCAACGATTCAAAATATTAAAATAAATTATTGAATCATTAATGTCCAAAAGTGATCTTTAGATCAATAATTTTGGATTCATTATCAGATTAATGGATTGCAGGTCACTTTTAATTAATTTAATAGATCGGGACCAAACGAGGTCGATCATGGAAGCAAAATAATGTGGGAGAAGAGCCATACATGTTCGACTGCAAGCTTATTGGGCCTCAGTGATTGTTGAAGGCCTTGGGCTGAATGTTTTGGGTGAGCCCAGCAGTAGCAGCTGCTAGCGTTTGGGCCAAAGAATTGGACACGAGTGCATGCCCAGCTAAAAAGCTGGCCGCGGGTTTGGTCTAGGAAGCCCAGTCGAAGTTGGGTCGTGGTCAGAGCAAGCTTAGCCTAGCAGACAAGTCTGCGGGAAGCGGGCCGGGGCGCATAGCATAACGCAGTGGGCTAAGGGTTGCTATAGGCAAGCCAAATCATGGGACAACGGGCCAAGAAGGCTACATGCTTTCTTGGTTGGGCTAAGGGACTTTAGGCCTTATTGAGCTTATCAGGCTGAAGGCTAGGGTGTTCGAGCCAGCACTGCAAGCCTAAAGGCTTATGCCGTGTGGTCCAAAGATGTCAAAGACGACACCGTGTCATGATGTGCGTCACATAACTGGGCTTCAGGCCAGTGGTGATGCGATGGTACCGCATAGTTCCTTTTTTTTTTTTTTTTTTTTTTTTGAATTCTCTAAGGTTTGAAAAACCGTAACATGCTTCTAATTTATTTATATGCTTTGACTCACAATTCCACATAGCAATATAATTGCGTAATGCATGAAACATTTATATATATATATATTTATTGACAAATATATGAAACATATACAATATATATATCGGAAGGAAAATATAAACATAGGGGGTTCATGCATCATGGGGAATGTTTTCATGTTTCAAGGTCGTTTCAAATATCTTCCTTTATTTTAAGCGTACTTGATTGGCATAAAAAAAAAAAGAGCCTTTGAATTTTGTAGAAGATAGCATCCTCCTACGATTCGTCAATTCCTTAGCTTCTGGCAAGAGCGTGCTGATAACGTGTTGTAGGCCTAATTAACTGAGCTATTTTGAGGGAATAGAGAGAGGGAGGCCAACAATAGTGAGATAGAGAAGAGAGAGATTTAATTGTGAGGTGTGTGTTATATCATCCCATTTTGCCTTTATTTATAGTGGTAGAATAGGTAAAATCCTTACCCTTTTAGGATTACAATTCTTAATAGGTAATCCACTCCTAATAGGAATATAAGAGATATTCTTAGATTCACTAGGATTTACATAATCAAATTTCTATTCTAAATATGACAGCAACACTTTTTAAATTATTTGGAATGAGATACTATTTTTGTTCTCATGTTTTTTACTCTCATTTTGTAGGCCTCACTAAAACATACATCGGTCCTTGTGTCCTCTACTTGGGTCTATCCATCGTTTCGAGAAGGAGGGCGAAGCGAGAAAATGTATGAAATAAAAAGTTCAAAGTGAAAGCCTCTCTACTTCCTTCTTCTACCATTTATATATTTTTTTTGGAAAAACTGAAAAAAAAATATATGAAATAAAAAATTGAAAGTGAAAGCAATTTAGAATTGTTTCCAGATTTTTGTTTGTACTTTTGAATTTGTATATCATTCCACTGTGTTTGCTCAACATCCCTCCAAGCTTCCTTCTTCTACCATTTATATATCTTTGTCTTCAATATATTTCTTCTCTATCTCTAGGAATAGTAAAATTAAAAACGAAATGGTTATTAAATAAGAATGTTGAGTTGTTGACACAAAATACAATAATAAGTTATATCATTGAATAAAAATATAAGTATAAAATGGTTTATTTAGGAGTGGGCCAAAATTGACCGAATCATTCAAATTGTTTTTAGTATATGGGGAGAGTAGGTCGACAATTGTTACACGACTCAAATTTTGTACGGACATAGGTCTGGAAACAGAGATAAATGGATTTCCTCAACAAAGAATTCCATTACTTATACCTATACAACGATGTATCTTCTAATTCATATAGATTGCATATAACTAAGCTTTGTATTTCTTTATCTCAATGGAATTGGGTATGGTTCGCGTTATGGTTTTTTTTTTTTTTTTAACAAACAATATTATCTACTCAAAGGGAAAGGGGTGGGCTTAATCTCCCAATAGGCTAGCAATAATGTGTCAAATTTGTCTTTGGCGAGAATCGAACCTAAGACTTTTCACTTATAAGTGAAGAGGAATATCACTAGACTATAGTATTAAGTAAAAAATAAAATAGAGGAGTGAAAAACAATATGTATATTAAAAAAACAGAGGTATTTTGTAAATAAAATAGAGGAGTGAAAAACAATATGTATATTAAAAAAAACAGAGGTATTTTGTAATACCTCATATTGTTGATATATATGTTTCCTCCGAGGGGCATGATGAAGAACATCAAATTCACAGGATACCAACCTTCGAACCCAGACCCTACGAGGATCATGGTTGTGCACTTTCCATTAGGTTAGGAGGAAGGCTGGTGTTTGATTTGCAAAAACAATTTATTTGAAGCTTGATATTATTTGAATTTGACACCAACCAATGTTTTCTCTAAAAAATATTGTCCAACCATTAAGGAGAATAACGTATTTGAAACAGATTCACTGCCACGTCTCGGTTTTTGTTCAATAATACATTGTCGTGTACAAATTTTTTCTACATGACGATGTATGATTGGGTCAAGAAGCCACGTAGCGATGAACAAAAAATATAAGAAAAATAAAGAACGACAAGGCAAGTTTACATAACTAATAGGTCCAAGCTGTAGTACTAAAGGTTGAAGTTCTCGGACTAAAGAAATTACGCTTTAAAGAGATGGAATCGTGTCCTTATTATCTCTCATTACCCTAAACAAACAATGGATAGATTAGAAGTTTGATTACTCCTGCCCATGATCAATCATATTTCTTTCTCTTTTTTTTTCTCTTTTTAGTATGAATAATTGCTAGCTTGCGCAATTTATGGGTAATATTGTAACGCAAACTTGTTGAACCTAATTTCTAAGGCTTGGTAGACTTCGTTAAACGATTGTGCATCTTCTAGAGGTAACAAGGTTTTACGATTTAGTAAGGGAAAGTTTAAGGAATAGCTTCCGATACTATTCACTTTAACGAAAAATCACATTTTTACTTTAAAAATACAAATATGTTACAAAAACAAACAGAGGTATTTTGAAATACCTCATGTTGTTGAAATATATACGTATATATACGTACGCACGCACATACACACACACATGCAATCATGGTTCATCAAAGTCGGCATCTCAACGGATACCAGCCTTCGAACCTGGAACCTAATGGAATAATGCTTCCACAACCTACAATTATCCACCAGGCTAGTAAGAAGGCCGGTATAAGTGCATGCAAACTGAATTATATACCTACGACCATTTGGATTTGGGCCAATGTCCCCTTCTGGCATGAAAGATATTGAGCGAGGGTTTTTTTAGGTCCCACAAATGAACTTTTTGGGGTTACTGATTCTGTTTGGCATACCGTTGAATCGAAAACGAATTTATATAAAAATGAATTGAAATATAAAAATGAATTTATATACACATCTACTGATCATGAGGAATGATTAATTAATAATAATAAAGTTAGCTAAATTTTACGACCAAAATGTAAAAGTGAATAATCTTCACCAATGATTCAACAATCTTCGATTTGGTTGAAAGCGCAACAATGGATTTACTGTCTTACTAATATTGGTCTTTATCATATTTTATCCATAAATTGACTAAGTTGATAAAAAAAGATAAAGAAGACAAAATACAATTGTTTTTTTTTTTCATTTCATTTACATCATTAGTTCAGTATTTCAAATGAGGGATAAATTCTTCGAATTTAGGCTCCAAATGATAATATATGCACAAATGGATAAAGGAATTAACTTAACTAACGATTGGACTAATACGAAGGATGAATGAGACTAGAGTCCATGGATTGATGGACCATTAGAGAAATTTGGTCTTTTCCATCACTTTAATTAGAGGAAATTTGTCAAATGAATTCCAATCATGTAACAAACTGAGATATTCTAGTACGCAGGAAGGAGTGATAATTTTGCACATGACATGTTATATGAACTCAAAACCCAAACCCTAATCTACAAATTGACACGAATATAAGGAGTTCATCGAGCACAACCAATTGCCACACCTTCTCCTCGTCTATTTTGGTAATTACAATCACCCTATCCATTACTATTACCACAGAGCTCATACTATTGTTTTTTTTTTGTCCAAAAAGTAAATTTCATTGCATTAAGAAAAAAAAAAAAAAAGGGGTTGTAATTGGATGGTCCAACATATATCACCGGGCCAACACAAAGGATGACAAGCAACTCAAAAAAATTGGAAAAACCCATGTACACAATAAACCCAGCCCATTAACCAAAACAAACAAAAATAATAGAAACTTTAATTTCTATCTTTCAAAGACCGAGCATCGTTGCCGCCGCCACAAACATCTTGCTATCAACCACCAAGATAGTCACGATGGAAGAAACAACCGAGTGTTTAATTTGAACAAGAAATCGCAACACAAAGACGTCAACCGCGCACTAAGAGTACACCACAACCAAATTTCATCACCCTAGTCCCATAGAAATTGTATTAGAAGTATTGAACGATTGATTAAGGTGGAGCAAGTATCTCCCCTACTATTGGGTATTATGCAAGACAACACTCCAATCCATATACTTGTATTTCTTTTCTTCTCTGCTTTTGTGCCCTCGGGGAGTTACCCATTGACACTAATAAATTGAATGCAACAAACTGGAAATTGGATGGAATTCCCTAAATCCAGAAGATGAAGAATGAAGCATAAAACCAAACCCTAATTAATTACAATTTCAAATTACAAATTCATACAAACCTAACCCTAAATACCAAATTAGGCTATAAGAGAGAGAGAGAGAGAGAGAGAGAGAGAGAGAGAGAGAGAGAGAGAGAGACGAATATATGAACATAAGGTGTATTGAGGCTGTTAACCAAACCAATATTTGCTTAGGAAGAAGAAGAAGATATATTATTTTATGTTGAATGTATTTTGTCCATAATCGTAGTTGCGTATTAGGGTAAATAAACATTTAGAGCAATGTTAGGAAGATTAAATTTGTAAACAAAACTTACAAACTAAATGATGTCTCACCAATAAGAAATGAATATGTTTATCAATGTTTAAGTGATAATTCAACCATCAACCTCCATGTCATTTAGTTTACAAATTTTGTCTCCCTAGCATTACTCAAACATTTAACAAAAGAAAAAAAATTCACCAAAAAAAAAGGCACCTAATTATGTTTTTTTTGTATACATCTTAATGATTTGTTAAATTACATCATGTTTTTTTAAACTTCAACATACTATACATGTATATACATACTTCGTACATTTAATATACATTATTTTTACACATTTTATTAATACATTTAAATTTGACGTATTGTAAGGCCTATTTTTAAAGTTTATTAAAAAATAAATATTAAAATTTTAAATTTTAAATTTTTTATAGTATTATTTTAGCAAAGTTGCCGAATAACACAACACACATTTTTATGTGCTATACTTAGTTAATAAAATGTTAACAAAATCTTAAATTGAACTATATTTTGACGAAATAAATTATACAATTGCATAAGAAATAAAGTATAGAATGCAAAATAGTATAATTGGTGTTAACCTAATAAATGGAACGAAATAAAATAAAACAGAGGGAAGAAAACTATATAAAAAATAAGTAATGCTAGGTAGACTAAATTTCTAAACTAAATGATACGTTAGCAATAAGAAATAAGCACGTTAATTAATATTTGAGTAACATTTGAGTAACAATGAAATAAGTAAATGAAAATTAAATATCTTTCTACACCCATTCAACCAAGATAGCACCCACATGCAGCTCCACCACTCAACCACCACTCCAGACCTTCTCTTTTTTCCTTCATATCAAAAAAAGAAAAAAAATAGTCAGGAGGGAGACAGACCCAACAAAGACAGGGAGGAGCCCACCGGAAGGAGAGAGAACAGTCGAGAAATAGGCTTGATGAGTTTTTGTTTTTCCAGTTTATTATTTATGAGGATAAACTAGAGAGTTTAGGTAACAAAATATTAAAGTTGGGTTTAAAAAGAAAAAAACTGGGTCCAGATAAAATTTCTCTTTTGTAAATGAAATTCACAATTCCTTTGTATCATTTTCCATGTGGAAAATATAGAAAAACAAAGGTATTTTAGAATACCTCATTTGGTTAAAGGAATGAAGATCCTCTCTGTTTATTGTACATCGTGCGGTCATAAATTATTTTAAATACCAACGTCTCATCCATTCATCGATTCATCATCATCACCATCGCAAATACCAGCCTTCGAAGCCAGAATCTTGAGGAATCATGCTTACCGCAATTAACCACTAGGCTAAGAAGAAAGCCGGTCCAAATGGAAGCCCAAAAATCAACTTAGTCCTCACAAGTTGAGTTTGGGCCCAGCCAATTTTTGCTCTATTTGTATATCATTTTTAATTGGTTTTTTTATTAACACTCCACATTTTGTTGACTAAACTCCACATAAAATTTAATAATAAATAACTCATATATCTTGATATAAAATGACTATTTAAGCCTTAAATATATAGTACACTCCGTAAGTTCTTTTAATAGAAAAACCTAATAATAATTCAAGAACATGTTGAGATCGATTTTTCTTGTTTTCGAGTTGCAGTCAAAGAGTTCAAATTTGAAAACATTTTATGCAAATTCCGATTTCACCTTTTTAAAGATAATTTTCATAAGTTGGGGGTGTAATCACGATCGCAATCGCAAATGCTACAAGGAACCCATGAGATTTTTCGTAAAGGAAATATATTGATGCTGATACATGCATAATCATTAATTATGAATCAGAAACTGATTCCATTTGGCAGTTAAGAATGTCTAAAAATGAGAGTTTCATTTCTCATTTTTTCGGTTGAAAGGAGAGACTTCAAGAAGAGAAAAGCTAGCTGAAGTTTGAAACCCTAGAGCAAAATAGGATAAAAATGTAAGAGGTCAAGTCAGAGACTATAGCAAGAACCAAACAAAAACAGCTAAATTATACAGATAGCAGTACACTAGAAGCCAGGCGCCTTTTATTTCCTCGAATTCGACAAACAGAAGCAATTCTTTCTAACACTGGATAAATCTCCCAACAAGGCAGCAACAACCTTTATTATTTCCTTGTGGGGTGTAAGGGTAGTGTAGGAAATTAGGTGGGGTGGATTAAGATAATTTTTAATTTAAAAAGTAAATGTGGGATGTTTTAGTACATGGGGTGTGGTCAACAAAATGTGAGGTGTTAATAAAACAACCCTTTTTAATTTGACATTTGTAGCTACATTTGGTGAATAAGTTTCCCAATGCATATCTATATGTGATAAAAAAAATAAAAATAAAAAAAACAAAAACAAAAATCTCATATGCTTTTGTTCTGCTTTTTAAATAATTTGAAATGAGATAATGTTTTTGTGCTCAATATTTTCCACTCTAATTTTATGTCTCAATAAAACATACACGGGTCCTTGTGTCCTCTATTTGGATCAATCTATCGATTTATGAAGAAGGGTGAAGCAAGAATGGTGAGGGGAAGGAAGGGAAAACTGAAAGATAATATATGAAACAAAAAGTTGAAAGTGAAAACAATTTAGAATTGTTTCCAGACTTTGGTTTGCAGTTTTTAATTTGTATATAATTGCATTACATTTCCTCAACACCCCTCCAAGCTTCCTTCGTCTACCATGTATATATCTTTGTATTCAATATATCTTCTCTATCTCTAAACGAAATAATTATTGAACAAGAATGTGAAGTTGTTGTTTTGATGCTAAGTACAATAATAAGTTATACCACTGAAAAAAAAATAAGTATAAAATGGTTTAATAAGATTATCTCCACTCTTTGGGTTAACTCATAAAATTTAGATTATCTTTATGAACATTTTAACTTAAAAATATTTAGACTTCGAGAAAGAATAAAAAATCACTAATAATGAACAAATACATAAACATTTATAGAGTTAATTAAATACATAGAGGAGAGAAAATAGTAGGTACATAAAAAAACAGAGGTATTTTGCAATACCTCATATTGTTGATATAATATGTTTCCTCTGAGGGGCCATGAAGAACATCAAATTCGCAGGATACCTGCCCTCGAACCCAGACCCTACAGGGATCATGCTTGTGCACTTTCCATAAGGCTAGGAGGAAGGCCAGTGGTTAATATGCAAAAACATTTTCTATGAATGTCTATCGACTATTTGGATTTGGGGCCTAACAATGTTCTCTTCAAAAGATATTTTCCAATC